TTCTGTATTGGTAATCGGGAGGTGAAGAGGAGTGGAGAATATGAACCATCAGAAACCCCAGACCCTGATACTGACTATATAAGAGCTCAGGAGGCTCGGCGATTTATGATCTATGTGCATGCCAAAATGATGATAGGTGAGTATTGATTTTCTCTTAAATGTTTTTGGAGTAGGAATCATTTGCTTTGGGTGGACAAATATATATACATAGGGAGAAACTGCAAATAAGCGATTAATTGGCCCTTGACGGTGTTTTGGGTGAAAATGTGCCCCTGCGTTCCCTCTATGTGCAGGCTGGCCCTTTTTTCATCTCAAATACTAAAACAGAGATTGTAAAAGTCATTAAAAGTAATCATTTCAATATAATGAGTAAAACTGACAAAGAATAGATACTACGGTGTATTATTTAAAAAACATATTGCATCAAATGTAAATTGTATTTTTTCTTATATTTTTGTAGTAATTTTAAAATAGTTAGTTCATATTAAACAATGTTTTTGGTGATTAATAAACGTCTTTTTTGGGGGTCTTACAGTTGATGATGAGTACATAATTGTTGGATCTGCCAACATCAACCAGAGGTCAATGGATGGAGCAAGAGATTCTGAGATAGCCATGGGTGCGTACCAACCTAATCATTTGGCAGCAAGGCAGCCGGCAAGGGGTCAGGTTCATGGTTTCAGAATGGCATTGTGGTACGAGCACCTTGGGATGCTTGACGAGGCTTTCCTCCATCCTGAAAGCGAGGAATGTGCCAGGAAGGTGAATGACATAGCCGAGAAGTACTGGGACCTCTACTCGAGCGAGAGTCTGGAAGGAGATCTTCCTGGTCACTTGCTTCGCTACCCGGTTGGAGTAAGCACTGATGGGGACGTGACAGAGCTTCCCGGTTTTGAGTTCTTCCCCGACACCAAAGCTCGTGTCCTTGGCACTAAATCTGAATACCTTCCGCCAATCCTTACTACTTAACGACAACCTTCTGCTTATATGTCTCTCTTCGTTCATCTCCTCAATAAAACCCAGTATTATCCTTATCTGAACACAATGTGTCTTTCGAATACACTGCACTTGTCTAATGAAGGGGGTCGGCATCATCTATTTGTTTTTCTTTTGTGGTTTGATATAGGGCATGATTGATTTGTGAGGTAGGTTTTAAATGCCCACGAAAATCATCACTACTCCATATGAAGTTAAACGAGTGTGTTGTTGTTCCAGGTTATCTAGTTCTGAATGTGATGATTTTCTTGAATGATCGCATGTAGGAATGGGATAACTTTTCACAGTTCAAGTGATTACGAGACTTCAGTCACTACTGGTCAAAGAATTAGAATCGGTTCTCCAAAGTTTGTTAGTTTGATTTGGAGTGGTTGAGTCTAATCTTATTTAATCAAGACTACATTGGTTTCACATTATGTGAATTTTATTATAGAGTTATATACATATATGATTTTTAAGCTTTGTGATAACAAAAGTATTGTTTTCAAAAATAGTGATTAAGTATTTCTGAAATGTCTAATATTCAAATTTCTTCTCCCTCTTATATTTATCCAACGGTCCCCACCCTTAGCACCTCCCTTGGCAGTCACCAGGTCCAATCTCCAAATTCATACTTTTCAGTTTTCATTTCACACTTCTATCTTCTTGTTTAGTTGATGTGTTCAATGAGATCAAGCGTGACGGGTAGGGGTGGACCGGTTCCGGTTCGGGCCCGGTTCGGGTCTGGGCCCGGCCGGGCCTCGGTTCAGAAAAATGAGGCCCGAGCCCGAACCGGTGGTGGGCGGTTCTGGGCCAGACCGGGCCGGGCCGGCCCAAAATACCTAGTCCAACCCAAAACTTAAAAAAATTTCCAAAAAAAAAAAAGAAATTAAATTCCGGCCCGAAGCGGGCCGGGCCGGGCCGGTTCACTAAACTGGAGGCCCGGGCCCGGACCGCTATACCACCGGGCCGGGAGGCCCGAACCGGGCACGAACCGGTTCACCGAGCCGGTCCGGGCCCGCACAGTAGCGGGCCAGTCCGGTTCCGGGCTGGTTGGCCCGACCCGAGTCCATCCCTAGTGACGGGAATGAAGTAGAAGATGGTAAAGCTGACGGTTGTTGTAATCAGCGTAATGACGATTAGTGAAAATGAAGGTTGACACAATCGAAGACTAGCGATGGGGAATGAAAGGCTATGATGGCAGGCACGGTGGCGGTCGACAGTGACGAAGACAGACAAAATCAATGGGCTGCGACGACGGGGTTCGATTTGTTCTGCACTGCTTTGAATCTAGATTTTCTTTGCCAATTGAGACGGTTTCCTTTTTCAGGGTGGTGGTGGTGCGGCTAGGGTTTCTCATCACGACAGTGGTGCGGTATGTTAAAAGTTGGGCGGTTAGGGTTGTGGGGATGAGTTGTGTAGCGGTTGGAAGTGGGATGCGGAGGTTGGGGTCTGGGGGTTAGGGCTGTGGGGGTAGAGCATGCATGTGCACATGGTGAGGAGTAATTACCTAGCAGTGATACGGCTAGGGAGATGGTGGTGGTCACATTCGGGGCGGCAACAGTGGTCACGATCATAGCAGTGGTGGCTGTCACTAGCCACCCGTGGTGATCACTATGGACGGCAGTGATAATCTCTGTGACGGGGTGATGGTGATTTTCAGCGGCGATGACGTTGATTACTACGATTGGCGATGCTTACTGTCCAGGTGTTCACTAGGGTGGTGGTCATTACGTCGAGTCAAGTCACTATCAAAGTCACTAGGGGTAATTTAATAAGTCTAATGCTTATTAGTCACATTTTTTCATTGTCTAAATTTTAAAAATATTCATGTCGAACCACCTTAACTTTTTTTGAATGAACCACCTTAACCTTTCTCATTTCATATTTTCATAAACTCAATAATCAATAGATATAAAAAATTAGCAGCCAATAATCAAAAGATGAATTAACTTATTTTAACTAGTATGATTTTCATGGTTTTTGTATTACTACATTTTAGATGAAATTAGGGCCAACCTCTACATGGAGGGATATATTAAAGGCACACTTTGAGCTAAGAGAATGTCCAGGCCCATTCTTAGGAATAGGATATTTAAAGACACATTTGCCCAACGAACGATAGCATTCGGCGGATTTTCCCGTCAAGTGCTACGTTCCCACAAAATTAAACATTTACATATATGTTCTAAAGTTGTGTATCCTAAGTAAAAACCACAAAGACGAAATTCTAAAAAAAATCAAACTAGAAAAAAATGTTAGCTTATGTATAAATATAATACGAAATGAGATTTAAGATTTTTTGCTAGGGATTCTCTCAGTCCCATACATCAAATCAAATCATATATAAATAAAACCGATCAAGATTAAACACCTCATGAAAAGTCACTACCTTCATTCCGGTTAAGGTCCTCGTTCAAAACGGTAGAGTTCTAGACAATTCAGATTGTTTAGAAAAGTAATTTGAGCGGATATATATAATATAATGAAGTAATTAATGGTGTTGAGATAATTCCATCGGCCCAAAAGTCCAATATGATACCTTTAATGGGTGACCGACTCGGATGTTGAGAATAATGGAATAAATGCAAGATCATGATGTCTTTGGTTCATATTAATAAGAACTCTAAAACATTTTCAAGAACATCTTTGAACACTCAAAGACGATAGCTTTGTTTTACCGATTCGTGTAATACTTTTTATATGAAGAGAGTAATGAATATTATCGAATGCTCAAAGACGAACCTTTATAGTAGTTATGAGGGGTTGCATATAGTAAACCGATGATAGTTGGGCACGGTGACACGTCATTTCCCTGTAGTTACACTCGTCAAATGGCATAAAATGTTATTCCCGTCAATTCTCAATTTCCACCAATTACCTTGGCATGGGTCGATCCGTCCCATGACCGCACATGCGCAAGTGTAAAGATTGTCGACCTTTATTAAAAAAAAGGATGACACCTCATCCCTGGTCGACCTTTATTCAGTCTAATCATCCGCTCAGGGGGGAGGCAAGTCTTGTTATGCTTACCCCTCCCGAATACCGTTCAACCCGATTGGGAACTTAGGCTCCCTCTCATGATCCCCCGCATGGTTCCCTCACGCTCCCTCCCTCCCCTGGTCTCATTCGGCATTAGATGGGCGTCCGGTGTTGCATTTAGGAGGCACGACAATAAGTGGCTTGATGGTATTGGGCCAACCCATAGTCCAGGTGACCCAATATCCCAACAACTTGTAGTTGGGTCAAATAACCAAATTGGTAAAAAAAATGTGGGTGGTTTACCGAGTTAGTAAAAAAACCTATTGCGACGCATTGGTAAAAAAAGAAGCCCTAGTAAGTGGCATACACAAATTGGTCAAATTTTTGTGAGTGACACACTTTTGATCCTCGAATTTAGAATTCCTGACATTTCGTATCCTATGTATTGAGAATTTGACATTTTCAGTCCTTCTAATTTCATATGTACATTAACGCGAGCACACACATATAAATTCATATATTTTTAGTATTAGTATTTTTAATATGACTATTTATTAGTTTTTTAAAAAATCTACTACATTTTGTTAACATTTTTAGCTTATCACTTTCATTATAGGTTTGACATAAAAATGTTAGTAACTTAATTGTTTGTGATTAAATGTTAAGGCGTAAAATGACCGGATATGAATTTAAAAGTATATATATTTCATTTAACTTTATTTTTTATTTTTAATTAGTCTTGAAAAAAGTTTTAACAAGTATATTTACATTTATTTTAAATAAGAATAGTGTAGATTTTTAGAAAAAACTACTCCGTTAATATGGAGTAAAATTTTGGAGTAGATTTTTCAAATGGAGTAAATTTAAAAAAAATAGTCATATTTAAAATGTGGGTGCTCGCGTTAATGTACATATGTTGAAAATCATAGTGCTAGTAGTTATTTAAAATCAAAGAAATAAAATTAAGGTAAATATATAAACTTTAATTTTAAATATTCATATCTTTAATGGTCATTTTACATCTTAAAAGCTAATTACAAACAACAACAACAACAACAACAACATCCAAGCCTTAGTCTCAAAAGATATTGGGGTCGACTAACATCAATCAATACATGATATCACCACCAAAAGGGAAAGAAAGAAAATAAAGATAAAAAAAGATGAGCTATTAAAAAAGATAATATAAAAAAGAGATGAATATACCTAAAAATGAAAAAATAAAAAGGATAAAAATAATGTTTATATATATAAGGATAAAAGGATAAAAAACAAGAAAAAAAAGATGATGGGAAAAGATAATACGAGATCACTCCTCCACACGAATCCCAGCCCTCCACTTTGCTCTCTCCAAAGTCATACCCCCATCTAACCCAAGAAGAAGCATATCACTTCGGACTCCCTTAACCCACGTCTATTTGGGCCTTCCTCTTCCTCTCTTCCCTGCCTCTTCTCCACACATCTCATCTCGTCTGACAGGTGCATCACTCGGTCTTCTACGCACATGACCAGACCACCGTAGGCGCGCTCCCGCATCTTGTCTTCAATAGGTGCTACTCCCACCATTTGTCTGATTGTATCATTCCTCACGTGGTCCTTCCTAGTATGCCCACACATCCAACACAGCATGCGCATCTTCGTCACACTCATCTTTTGAATGTGAAATTGTTTCACCGCACAACACTCTACGCCATACAGTAATGCAGACCTAATTGTTGTCCTATAAAATTTACCCTTCAGTCTAGTCGGCATACCTCTATCGCATATAAATCCTGACGCACTCTTCCACTTTATCCACTCAGTTTTGATTTTATGAGATACATCTTCATCTAACTCACCATCCTTCTGAATTATGGAGCCCAAGTAACGGAATATATGGCTGACCGGTATCTCCTTACCATCTAGAGTATGGATAATACACACACATGTTTGTATGGATGCACACACATATATATGTGTTTGTGTGTGTATGTACACATAACTTTCACATATTTTTATAAAATATAAATAAAAGATTTGAAAATAAAAGTATTTCTTTTAATTTTATTTATGAATTGTATTTTTTTTCCAGAAATTTCCCTAAATAGGAGTAAAAATGTTTTGAAATTCCAAAATAGGACTATCATGTTTTTTTAAAACGACTATCATGTTTTTTATTCCCTGAGTAGGAGTAATCTGCCAAGTTTGGAGAAGAATGATATGTTTAAGGCCTAGTAATGTCAAACTTGACAGAAATTTACTCATATTCATGGAATAAAAAACATGATAGTCCTATTTTGGAATTTCAAAACGTTATTACTCCTATTTAGGAAATTCTCTCTTTTATTTTCTATATTTTATTTTTATTATTTCCCAACTTTGATACTATGTAATGTTTGAGGGGCTGACCCCTTTGAGTGCCCACCTTAGATGTAGAGTTGGCACGTTATCCGTTGATGTGGAGCTAATATGCATCTATGGGTCATTGTTGTTGTATACAAAACTTGTACAGGAATTGCACACTACATTTTTACATGGGCAATTGTTAGTTTTTTTTTAAACGAATTGATTATGCGCACACACAACTAGGTGTGTGTAAAAATTGTGTATTAATTTTGTGTTAAAATGTACTACCTCCGGTTTTTTTTAATCTTCACAGTTTGACTTCACACAAAATAAGGAAAGAAATTTGACTTTACTGTAGAGTACACTGTTGAGGCACTGTTTGACACTGTTTGGCACTGTAGAGACACTGTTTGGCACTGTTGAGACACTGTTTGGCACTGTTTGGCACTGTTTTGATATAGATTTCTTTGCCAAAAAAGGATATAAGGAAGTGTGAAGTTTATTTTAGACCGTCCCAAAAAGGAAAGTGTGAAGTTTATTAAAAACCGGAGGGAGTAAGTATTTCTATTGAGTTCTCAAATGAAAGTTCTCAAATGAAAGTTCTCAATAGAACTTAATAATCAAACAAGGCTATTAAGTTCTATTGAGAACTTTCATTCTTACCCTATAGTTAATACATCTATTATCCATATATACATAATGAACATTAAAAATCTCATTTTTTATTAGTTGTGGAACAAATAATAGATAAAAAAGTAACAAAAATATAAGTAAAAATAAACGGGGCGGGTACAGGGCGGGTAATGGGGCGGGCATGCATAAAAACGGTAACCGCCCCGTTACCCGTAAAAACAAATGGGTATTCCCCGCTTCGTACCCATTACCGGTCAATGCGGTTTTCTTCATTTTGACCGGGGTGGTTCGATACGGATATCCATCGGATCGGTCACAATTGTCATCTCTAACCACAGTCGAGGGGCAGAACGTGCTTTACAAAATTTACAAAAATGTCGCAATCAGAGCGGTGTGGAGGAGGCTTTGAATCGTTGAATATATATGGAGCGGTGGACAATATTTGTTGGAGTCCAACTTGGGTTTCTATCCAATAATTGAGATTTGTTAGTTGGAGCCGATTATTGTTCGTCCGTTCGTTCTAGAACGTTAATTTCTCTTCCGCGATTGGTGCGTTCCCCTCCACACAAGCTGGTGGAAAACCAAAACCAAACGCCTTCAATTTCTCTTCCGCTCGACACCTCATCACAAAAACGAAGAAACGTATACTACCTCCGTCCCAATTTGAATGGTCTCATTTCTTTTGGACACAAATTTTAATAAAATGTCTGAAAAGGTAAAAGTTGTGATTGAGATTTGAGTAGAAAAAGATGAAATCAAGTGGACCACATCTTTCTTTCCAAAAAGAGAAACAGGACCATCATTTTGGACATTCTCGGGTTCGAATCCCGGCAACTGCGATGAGGGGTTATTATGCTGAAAAATGCATAGGGCTTCTGCAAGTATCAGGGACAGAGCCTCACTCTCTATATGTCAGATTGTGATTATAGTCCAATTTACATCCTCCCATCGTGCCGTCCGGTCGGTGTTGGGGGCCCCTCAGGGATGGGGTGTCATCCTTTTTTGTCTATGCTCCTTTTTTGGTCATCTAAAATACAATTCATTCCTTTCCCGGCCTCTAACGTCAATATTTCAATCTCTCTCTGTCTAAACTCTATCAAACTTTACTTATCTGATTTTAGTTTTATGATTGATGATCGATATTCTTCTTTCATCTCAACTAACATAATTAAGCCATATTCGTATTATTTATGTACATTTATACTTGATTAATACTTCTATAATACGTATACAGTATACCTTAGCGTTATCTTCCTTAAATATAGCTAAGTATGTATTTTGTATCAAGAGATCGATTAAATTTTATGAAATGGGAAGATCAACTGTATATAGTTTACGATATAACTAGGTTATGTCAGATTAAATAAAGTACAAACTAACCTGTTTTTTTCTTGATCTTTTGGCATAAATTTCCCATTTTCCCATTTAGCTAACCTGTTTTTTTCTTAATCATTTTTTCTTAATCTTTTCTTACGATATAATTAAACTTGAACAGGGGCGGAGCGAGACTTGAGTGCAACGGGGCCGAAATATAATACAAGCATGAAATTATACTCCCTCCGTCCCGTTGGAATGTTCTCGGTTTGACCTACACACATATTAAGGAAATAAACTTGCCAGGGGATAAATTTTACTGCGTTGACACTGTTTGGACACTGTTTGACACTTTTTGCACTGTTTGACACTGTTTTGATGTAGGATAACTTTCCATTTGAGGAAATGGAAACTTCTTTTTGGGACATCCAAAAAAGGAAAGCGTGAATATCCCAACGGGACGGAGGGAGTAACATATAGGGTGGACAAACAGTACCGGAAAATATGTTGCCGACCTCGAATTTTCGGTCATAAAATTTACTTTCTAATGAACAAGTTCTAAAATTACTTTGTTATATTTAGTTACAAGGCCAAAATTATCAGAGAATAAAGTTTCACGACTAGTAACGGTTATTGTCGAAATTTATGAGATTAAAAATGCAAAAAACTTTCTATTATAAATACGTAGTACATTGTACCAATGTAAAATGATCACACCAATACAAATATTCATGTATACTATTCAAATTACGAATTAACTTTAGGTCAATTAAAACTTAGTTTGAAAATTTTTCACATGATTTATATATTTGTTAATAATTTCATATTAGTTAATTATTAATATATTTCACTAGGTTTGGCTTTTATATCAAGTAATTAATGCTTACTACTCTATATAATATTAATTGATAATAAAAAATATTAGTAGTATTTGATAACTGGTCTTTTACAATATTATTAGGATGCGGCAAATATTATTTTAAATGACAAAGAATATGTGATTGATATTATTAGAGCATCTTCATTCATGATTTTTAAATAAACAATTTTTCTATAACACGTCATTGACACATCACTTTTATTCAATAAATTTTACATAATCTCAAATTTTAAAACTCTCCATGATACTCAAATAATTAGCTTTTTAGGAGATGCATTAATCGTAATTTAACTACAATATAAAATAATCCGAGATTTGAATCTTGATATTTGACTTTCTTTTTCAATAATCTCCCTAAATAATTTCTCACTCACAATAATATTTAAAATAATCTTAAACTAATGAATGGGGATGCCTCTAGTTGGATGCATTTGTATTATTAGTTTTAAATGACACAAATTCTCTCTCGTTTTCTCATCTCCATAACTAATATTGAAACGAAAATAGTACATAGTCATATACAGGGATTAGGAGAGTATTGTCATTTAGCCTATAGGGAGTATCAATCAGGGGCGGATCTACCTTCAAAGGAGTGGGGGCACATGCCCCCAACAACATTTTTATAATTGATTAGGAGCATACATTAATAAATACATATTCCTTTGTAAAAAAACAATTTGCCCCCAATAAATTATTTTGCTTGCCCCCAATTAAAGATAGTTCCTACGTAAAAGATAGAACATACATATGATTTAGAAAACAAATTCATTACTAGATTCGAACTTAAAAATTCTTGATTAAGTCAAATTAATTTAATACTTCGTATTTATCAATTAATTCACTGTTCCTTAAAAAGTGAAATGCTAGTTAGTTAGTTTTTTTTTTGAAAACGAAATGCTAGTTAGTTAGATCCTAAAGTGTGAATATTTTTGTTTTGGATGTGCTTTCTAACCTATTATAATATGATAGGTATGTTCTATCTTAAGACCAGCACATTTGAACTAAAATGAAATTCAAACATGTGGCTTCTTCCATGAGTGTCAAATTGATGTCTTTAGGCTAAAAGATACTTGATAAAGCGAGTGGACTACTAAAACATAGTTATAATTGATGATTTAATAAGTAGGTTATTAGGCGATGATGTAAATCACCTAGGTTAACAAGACGTAAGATATCGGAGTCTATTCAAATCTAAAAGCCCGTTTGGTAACACTGAAATCAGATGAATCGGCTGTTTCTGTTGATATTTATGAAGTTTTGGCTGAAGTGGTTGTATTGTCTGATTCTGCAAATTTATGAAAAAATTATATACGGAGTATATAATATGTTTTATTAATAAAATAAAGAAAAAAATTATATTAAAAAATATTTAAAATGATTCTTTACAGTAACTTCAGCCAATACAGCCAGAAAAGTAATTATAACCTTACTTTTCTTATTATTACACAATTCAGCACACGATATAAAAAGTTACTTGTTTGGTGAAAAAGTTGTCTGATAAACCTGATAAGCCGAAAAACAGGCTCACCAAATGGGCTCTAAATAGTTCATTCAGTTTTGTTGAGAATCTTGAAGAATATAAAAATAAAATAACATGGTCAATCATCACATTGAGTATATGATTTTTGTATAAAATTATAATCTCTAATTTAAATCGCCCCCAATAACAAATTTTTC